TTTTAAAATAGCCTTGCGCTGTTCAGTGATTTCCCAACGATAAGATAATAGTTGGTAATCTTCATAAACATTTGACGTTCGCAATTTTAAAGCATAAATTAATTTAAGACACTATTGTGAAAATGTGAAGCTAATTAATATGGTGAATGAAGAAATTTTGCAAGGGCTTATTAGAGGTTAAGCTACTCTCCATAATACTAATTGGTTTTATGGTGGAATCTCAATTCTTTCATTGTAGCAAAGCTGGTTGACTCTCGTGTTGTGAAGCCCAACGGTCGCATGTGCTCCACACCATCCAATTCAAGTTGTCTGTGTTTGCCTAAAAATCGCAACACATGAGGAGGGGTGTGAGGATATGAAGGTAAAAAAAAATCTCATATAGGTAAATAGAGAAACCTTGCAAGGGCTTATAATAGGTTTGACTATTTCCTATATTACCAATTAGTTTTATGGTGGAACCCCAATTCCTTCATCTATAACTAATCAAATATGATTAACTGAGTGTTAATATCGATCTATGCAATGAGATCTATTAGTGACTGTCATTGTCATTGTAGGGAATGAGAGCTAGGTAATTGCCTAAATCATCATGCGGCGGAAAGGAACGGACGGACCATGAAAGGAGTTAAATGATGACATCAGTTAACAAATTTTTATTTATCAGGTAAACTTGATTTTGCTTACAACGTGATCTGACTCGCTATATTTACTTTAAGGCAATGATTTAGTTATAAGAGAGATGCATATGGTGTTGGATCGAGCAGGCCAGCTTTTGTTATACCTGACACCAGAACATCTTGGTCAAGTAAAGGTTATGATGTGGTCCAAATGCCCCTATATATTGATTTCCTTATGCCTTTTGACCCTCTAAAGAGATTAAAAGGAACAAAAGTTGATCTACACTAAAAACCAAACAAGGCAAACAAATCAAGAGTATAAAGATGAAGCAGCAGGCTCCAACAACCACTAAGGTACAACCGTACACACCAAATGATATTTCTCTCTAATTGTATGAGTCGAACTCTAACATTAGAGTCGATAAGTGCAGTATTACCAAAGTTAGGAGCCTTACAAACTTGTTAAGTGTGTGTACGTGCTTGCAAAGTCGATTTTGGTGCATCCTACATATCCACATATATATCCAATTAATGGAGTGGAGTGATTTGGAGAGTGATATCCAACAGTGCAATCAGAAGAAGAATAGTTAAAATCAACCAAAGGGCACTACTTATGCATGATAATGGTGGCCTCCCACTCTTTATACTTTCGTCCAAGAATCATTTGCAGCATATTACGTCGACCTAACGCCATGGCCATGTCAAAATCATCGATTTGAAATAATGTTCTTACTTCACATGACAATGTGTCGCCCAATCCCACTTACTCCTTCTGCTCTTGTAATTATATATTTACTTGAAAATGGTTGTCAACTCCCTTCCTCACCAAGTCTTGATTAACAAATTTCTTACTCCTATTGGCGAGCTATAAACTAATCAAGATCCAAGATAAGATGTACCAAACGATGAATTGTTTTATTAAACTAATTAGTGGCTAGGCTTTGTGAGTTGGTTCGTGGAAAAACCAATAGGAGGTGCTTATAAGGTAGGCAAGGTACAAGTAGGACAGCACTTTACCCATCTTGCTTCGAATATGATAAGGTAGCATCAGAACCCTGAAATATGTGTCTGAGGTGGCTGCACTATGGTAACCTCTTGTTGTCTACGAGTCTCTAAGATCCTGGTGTCTCATCTTGCTTTCTTTCTGGGTAACATGGAGAAATCTATGGAACTTATCCTCTATCGAGTACGTACAATATATTTTAGGTAAAAACTCAAAATCTATGCAATGAGTCGGTAACAAATCATACGTATCAAATAAGTATGTGTTTTAACTCATCATGAACATCAATATAATCATGGTATACATATACGCGTGCATCAAGAAATATTCAGAATACTCTTGGTATATTGATATTGATGATGTATATATACTAAGAATATCAGTATTGGTCATTCATGGAATTCAACGTTGGTCATTCACAAAAAGCTTAATCTTTTGACCTAATCTAAGTCTAATTCATTTTCTGAGCCACCCAGCTACTTAAATGAATTTCAAGAACTTAGATTAAAAAATAATCAATTTCTACATTTAGAATTTACTTTAAACCCTTGTTTGTACTCGAAAGAGAAAATATATGGTGGAGGTTTTCCTCATTATCCAAATGAATTAGAATGTTGAAGGGGAAACACAAATCTAGAAATCCTTGAATTGCATTTGTAGTAGAGTGGAAGAGGAAGGGAGTGGTTAGATTTTAGATGTGACATACATTTCGTGGAGGATGAGTCAGTAACCAGCAACCCTAGTGACTTAAAAAGACAAAGGTATCCACAGCACTTTGCTTCCTGAAGGGTAGACACATGGCACCAGATTGGTAGCTATACGACGTAAGGTGCACCACGGCCCATGGGCTACAATCTGTCGCTTTCATCCCACACCCTGGCCCAATCCCAACAAAGTTATATCCCACTTCCTCTTTTCCTCTAGGGCCCCTTTAAACCTAGTGCCCCTGGAGCCCTAGCCAGAGGATAACTGTTCTTTTCTTTTGCTTTTGTTTGGTTCCAGAGAAAATTGGGTTGTTTTTATATTTTATTTTATTTCTTTTTTTAACAAACGTTATTATCTATATTAAGAAGGAAGGGAGTAAGCTCAACTTTACAATGGGCTAGCAATATCTGTCACTTACAAGTGAAGAGGAATACTAGCTCTTTTGCTTTTGTTTGGTAATTGAGAAAATTGGGTTTTTTTTTAATTTTTTTTAACAAACAATATTTATCTACACTAAGAGGGAAAGGGGGTAAGCTCAACTTCACAATGGGCTAGTAATAATGTGATTCAAATTTGCCTTTGACGAGTATCAAACCTAAAACCTCTCATTTACAAGTGAAGAGATAAATCACTAGACCGTAGTATTAAGTGTCAGAAAATTAGATTATAGTGCAAGGAGAATTTGAGCCAGTTATTTTAGTAGGTAAGATTTCTACAAAGTAACATTAAACTAAGTTGTATGGTTGCTATATCAACCACAAGTAAAAGGATTTGCTTAACAATGGTGGGAATTTTCCTTGTGGAAGGTTTTAGCTCAGCCATCAACGTCCACCGGTTTGTTTTTTTTTTTTTTTGGGTAAACGTCCACCGTATTTTCTTACTCATCAGTTTCCTTAAACAACACGACTCCACTTTTAGTACCAATCTCTGTTAATAGCCAAGAGACTTTTGATACCTTATTTCAAATTTATCGTCATTTCTTGTTTTTTTCTTCCAAGCCAACGAACTTGTTTCAAGAAATTTGAACTCTGGAGTGTTGTAAATCGGCTTGAAACAGTTAAAGTTTGCACTAGGTTCAGTTTGTGTTTAAATCGTCAAAGTTTGGAAAAAAAAAAACAAGCCTAGCCTACGTTTGACCTCATAGGAAACAAGTTGATCTTAAACATTAGTATTTCAGTTTGTAAAACTCATGAGCAGCTCTTTTTTCATGAGACAGCTAGCTCAAACTAGATTATTTTCACGAAGTTTGCTTGGAATGAAATGTCATTTTTGAGATTGAATTCTGGTTTTTTTGTTTTCCTTAATAGATTGACTATCTTCAATTTGAAAGGTCAGTCTTGTCTTAAAAAACTTGCCCCCACGTAGTGATAATTGTCACCAAGACCTTCAAATTGACTCTTCTACGTATTTTTCCAACCATACGTATATGAACTAGCTATTTAAGACGAGATGTTTCTTTTTTTTTTTCCACTATTATTGTACTACTTTTTATAGATAGAACTTAGTCAGAAATAATTACTATAGCTACGCCTCTGTTAAATAATAATCTCCTCATCGATACAAAATTGGCTTGCTTTCAACCTTTGACTGCAATCCTATTAGGGTAATAAATAAGTTGAAACAACTTGAGCTCAATATTGAGTTTGAAGTTTTTAAGCTCGCTCGATCTCAACACCTGTGAGAATACAAGCTTGAGCGCGAAAACCAAAAACAACCAACTAGGAATTTGAAGGATTTGTTCCAACAATGTAGAAACCGAATTCCACTAAACCAAAGACGGCATCCTGGTTATTATTATTGCTAATGGGATTGGAGGGCTTAATCGCCCCACAAAGGGCACTTTATCCCTCCACCTCCAGCCGGCTCAATGAAACGGTTTTTTTAGCCAAAATGATTTATAAGATTGACATAACTCCTCATTTTAATTCTTAAGATTTAAACAACTTAATGAAACAGCTTTTTAGCCAAAATGATCCCTGAAATTGGCAAACTCCGCAATTTGATTCCTAAGATTTGAAATCGATAGAGAATTGTCCCTAAATTTGTTCACCATCACTCATTTTAATCATTTTGTGAAAATTCTTGATAAATAAAGACCAAAATAATCATAAATATCCTCAATTTAATTAACAATGGACAAATAATTTGACCATTTTTAACCAATCGCACCAGGCCGCACGTTCGCTCTCGCGTCGTATCAATTATCAAATGCATCATATTATCCATTGGTTTCAAAAGTAGAAACATGAGTAAAAAAGAGGAAAGGTTGTTCTCCAACTAGACTAGACAGGAAAAGAAACAACCCATCAACCTTGTGTCAATACAGCAAAAATGACAACCTTAATTGAACAAACAATTCAAAGCATGAAACGAACAGTAAGGAAATGATCTGGACATCAAAATCCATTAAAAACAAAGCAAACAAGAATATCGGCCCCGACTAATAAGAATAAGCAAACGAAAACAAATGTTTCATTCAAGAGTCTAGTTGATGCAATAACGGAACCTTCAGTTTCTTTCGTTTTTTCAACACAACCAACCTTGATTTGCGTCAAGCAGGGAAGACAAATACAAACGACTTGTTTCCCGTTTAAAGCGGTTACTCAAAGATGTAGGCATTACCCATATCCCCCCAGCAATCAATACACAAGGTTTAATGAAAATAGGCTAACAAGTGCAATCAAATGTAAGCTCTAAGCATAAACAATTCGGCATGGTAAAAATAGAGGTCAGCAATCAATACGCAAGGTTTAATGATACCACTTGCAAATACTAATACATACCACTACTGATCCAAATACACGTCTTACAACAGCAGTAAATCTAAAATCGCTCGGCCCCCATCGCATTCAAAAAGCACTGTAACCTTCATTTTAAGCCCTTGCAGCGTTGGCCATCATTTCCCCCTGGGATTTGAAAACAAATTATTAGACAATAGGGGAGGAGGGATGGTGATATGTACATTAATAAATTTGTATACACGGGTAGAGAGAGAGGGCAAGATATGTATCTTAATGCAAACACACAGATTCAACTTACGTGCTCATCATCAGAGTAATGTTATCTCCTTTGAGAAGAATCCTTCCTGAAAAGATTAAAAGAAAACAGAAATAATTTAGAGACTGCAGAAGAACAAAGTAGCAGAAGATCACAAGACGAAGAGACTCACCTAATGACTTTCTGGTCTTTTTCTTGATGCTGACTTCTTCAGCTTCATCCAGAACCAAATTCATGTACTCATCAAAACCCTGTAAATACAGATCACCACCAACGAAAGAAAGACAATCTGGTCAGATAGCATAATATACGCTGAGAATATGCATGTATGAGAACGAAAATTCATACATTTCTATGTCGCCTTCTCAATTATGGCAGTCAAGTTGAAGACATGTATAATTAATTTCATCAATTTGGATCAATTACATTTCAAACACTTTAGACCCACAACTTGAGGACATGTATGATTAATTTCGTCAATTTGGATCAATTAAAATTCAAAAGAGCATAAATCAAGTTGAATTATCAATAGCTAAAACACAGCTCCAGCTATTCTATACATTTCTGCAACCATATTATTGCCAACGCGCTCTTATATGAAGGTGTTAGTACAAAATAGAAATAGGAAAAGTACCAACGGCCCTATATGAAATCAAGACTTAGAAGTCTAGAGCAATGAAGCACCAGCTACTAGCAACATCGCTCACTCACTCTGTCAATATTAAGGCGGCACGTGGCATGTGGTATTGCTCTTTAAAAATTGAACATAACTCAGCAACTTGAAGCCCCTTCTGTTACAGTTATTTACACACTGCCATTGTCCATCCTATCCCCCTTTCGTCCCACCGGCTTGTTTCCCTGTGGTCTCCGCTCCACATTCTCAACACCTCCACTCGGACCCCTCCCTTTTCTCTTCCCTTAATGTGCAATTTTCTTTTTGCCTTTTAATAAATTTTGGTCAGTATTTCTATTCCTCCAAATCCCTTCAACCCCAACCCGTTGTCTTCCTCCTTGGTTATGTTTGGCGACTGAGAAAGTTAAAGAACAGAAAAAAGAATATTATTGGCCTGGCTTCCAAATTTCCTGTTCTTCTATGTATGTAAATAGGAATATCTTGGGCTGGTTAATCTGTTCAGACCCATAAACAAAGTCAAAAGAAGGCTAAATGTTTTCAATTTGAAAGCTAAAACCAATGCATATTAATTTAGGGTTTGTCAGACAAGGAAGACAAAGGGAGTGGACGAGGGCAACAGTGGAAGAAGGTGGAGATGTTGAGAATGAGGCAACAGGTAATGGGGCAGTGGGAGGAAAGGAAGAAGGGAGGATGAGAATGGCAGTATGTAAATAACTATAACAGTAAGGGTTTTAAGTTGGCCAAGTAAAACTCATTTTTTTAAAGAGAAAAACTACATGCCACTTTTCGTCTTAATATTGAGTGTGTGAGCGGTGGTGCTAGCAGCTGATGCTAACAGCGCTATAGAAATCTATTCCCTGTAGTACTATCTTATGATCTATATTGTAGACAAAATATTTTGATGCTTAACATAGTTAAAAAAATAAAAAAAATAAATTGAAGCTGTAATGGTTCCCCAAAAGTACGGTTGCAGCTTCAAACAAGGACTCCATAATATTATTATGGTGAGTCCTGCCAAAGTCCTTACCAGTACAGCATAAAAGCATGTCTCAACAAGGGAAACATGTTTTACAAACTGAGACTAACTGTTCAATGATAAATAGAATATGTGGAAAACTAGTAATCTCCAAAATCCGAAAAATTATGTTTTACTCGAGCACAATAATGGTTTGCCACAGAAGATCTTACTTCTGCACCTTCATTACACAAAATACAAATGACTCCTAAAAAGACCCTGCAGTACTCCTAAGATATATCATCTAACAAATAATCGTGATATATATAGATGTTTAACTCAGTTATATTAAATGCATAATTTAGTCACTCACAATGCACCCTCTCCCCCAAATTATGTCTTTAAAATTTTGTTTCTTCGGGCCCGGAGCCTCCCCCATCATAGGAGATAATTATGTCTTTAAAATTAATATGACTGAAAAAACCCCAAATATTTACCAACTCAAATGTACAATATTATCAATTACAGCACATACTAAATTATGAGCAAATAAGAAATTGAAATAAAAAAAACATATCCGAAAGGGACAACAATCAGAACAACTCAATGAAACAGTTAAATTGACCACAACTATTACTGAAATTAAAAAAAAATTCACTGAAACATATCATATGGAAGAACAAGACATGAATTCGCAACTGGAGCAGTTAAAAATTATCCATATGCCGAAAATCAAAGATAAAGAGGTCATGACGAGTGCAGCAACGTCAACAGAAAAAACTATAAAACCAAAGTTAAGCCTAATTGAAATTTTGTTTGCGGAAAAAATAAAAATAAAAAACAAACTTACAATAATTCGGCCTTCAATCCTGAGGTCCTTCTGCTCAAAGAGCCAAATCTGGATGCGAGCTTTCTGCAACAGAAATTTTCCAAAAAGTAGAAATAAAAAGTCAAAACCCCCAAGAGGCGAACTTTCAAAGAAACCCAGATGAAAAAATCAACAAATTAGAGTGGAAGAGATGACTTACACTTTGAAGGAACCTGAAAATCAAGTTCTGCAGCGAAACCCCCGAAATTCAAAATAAAAAATTGAAAAAAGAAGAAAATTTGTCAGTGAATTATTAAAAAAACCACAAAAACGTAGAACAAACCAGAGAAAGGGAAGGTGAAGATGGAAACGTACAATGGGTTGGGTCATAATCCTCTGGACTTTAGCGCTCGCCATGGCTGCGAAATTCGTTGGGGCTTAGGGTTGAGAAAGAGTTTTAGTGGACGGGGGACTTCTGAAATTGAAACCCTAGCGAGTGCCGAGTATTTGCTACTAATAACAGAGAGTCGGCAGTCTAATGACCGACCCGCCCTTTATATTGAAATCTCAATATTTTTCATAAGCACTTTTGCCAACAGCCTTATATTACAAGTCCAAAAGTCAAGCCCATTTCTTTTTTCATAGGCAATAAACATGAGGTCTGGAGAAATATAGCTTATTTGGAAATGTTTTTACAATAATTGAAAACGTTTTAATAAAAATGGGTTTGAGTTTTAAAAGCACTTGAAGTGCTTTATGGAAGAAGCACCACTTATGTGCTTCTTCCACAATACAATTTAAAAGCTTTTCTAAGATTTACTTGTATTTTTACTAAAGATTGGTTCTAAAAATATTTTCCCCAAAAGCACTTTTAGTCATTTTAAAAACACTCTCAACCGAGCTCATAAAATAACGAGAAATGATAAACACATTATTTTTAACTTCTCACAAACTTCTATTTAATCTTATTCGTTGTTTGAGTTTGATTTCTTCAATCCGAGAGGAAAAGGTAACGAGGAGTGCGTGAGAAGCTGAAAAAGATGTGAAAATCTCTCTTTTGAAAAAAGCGAGAAGCTTAAGGTTTGGAAAGCTTTGAGCAAAGGGGAACGAAGGGTATGAGAATATGACTTAAGAAATGGAAGAACAAAATACATACCCCTCAATTTACATTTAAACAGTGTTTTAAATAGGGAGCTTTAATGAAAAGGGCTTAGGCCAACAAATATTTAACCAAAAATCATCCCAAAATGTTATTTAACCAAAAGGGCTCAAAGTTTAATAAAAAACCATCCTCTTCTCACCCTTCTCTAGCTTAAGCGGTGCAAGCTTCGCGCAGCACTTGGGTTTTTTCAACTTCTCCAACAACGGCGATCCCAACAACAACATCTTCGGTGTCGAGTTTGATGTCTTCGAAAATCAAGAGTTCCAGGATCCTGATGACAACCATGTTGGTTTGGACATCAACTCCCTTACGTCTAAAGCTTCAAGCACTGCAGGGTTTGTTTGTTGACTTTTTCTGACGGTTTTGTTAATGGGTTTGACGGTGTGGGAGTCGATCGTTCACCTCGGAGCTTTGGGTTTGGCCATGGCGGAGATTCTAGAGGCTCATCGCCCAAACCAAGCACGCAGGATTTGAAATTTGGAATTTGGAAGAAGAAATGTGGGATACTTCATTAAGGGGTTGGATTGTAGAATCATAGGATGGATGCAATCTACAGAGGACAATAGCTCCTTTATTATAGAGGACTTTTTCTTCTACCTATTAACTGGGCTTTGTTTGTTGACTTTTTTAGCATGAAATTGTTTCGACTCCCAGAATTGCGAGGTTGGACTTGAAATTTCTATTTTCTTGGTTTCCCACTTGGTGCAATTTGTTGAGTCATTCATCCCTTAACACTGTTGAACTAGGCAGAAAAAAGAACCAAAACATAAAACTGTTTCTGGAGAACCAAAAACATAACATTGTTTCTAGAAAAAAAAAATCAAATACAGTGTTCATTTTGTTTGTGCACAAACAAACATTGTATCTGGAAAGAAAATAACCAAAATCTAGAAACAGTGACTTAAATTCCAGAAACAGTCTATGTTTTAACCTTTGACTATTTCTTTTCTTTCGTGCATAAGTTGATTATATTTAAGAAACATGATGCTTAATTTGCTTTGAATCCAAATGCAATAAATTTCACTATTTCTTTTATATCTTACATTTAAGAAACAATGTGTCTATTTCATTTGGATCCATAAACAGTAACTTAGATTCCAGAAACAGTAACTTAGGTTTCAGAAACAGTGACTTAGATTCTAGAAATAGTAACTTAGATTCCAGAAACAGTGTTACTTAAAATCCAGAGACAGTTTATTTTTACAGTTCAAAAACAGTGACTCGTCGTTATTATTGAATAGCATGCAGATCTCAAATTTATTTTCTTGAGAAACAAACGATGAACTCCACTGACGAAGAAAAATTTAAAAACAGTATCTCAATACACTATGAATAATAACAACGATCACATTTCAACGAAATAATACAAAATATAAAGGGAATTGTTATTGGTACTCCAAAATTCTCATTCTACACTCCAAACTTTCTATATTTAGAAAGAAAAATACACTTGTGAGGAGTGTAGAATGAGATTTTTAGAGTGCCAATAATACTTCCTAATATAAATTAAGTAGCATGAGGATCTATATTTTTGTTTCAAAGAAAAAGAAGAAGGTCTGCAAAACAACGATGAACTTTATTAACAACGAAAATCTGAAACTCAACCTAAAAAAGTTAGGGGTAAAATCGACAAATCATAATTTATTATAGTTGGGCCATTTTTAGTTGAACTAGTTTAATATGGGCCTTGTACTAATCATGAAACAAAACTTATAACATGGTTTTTTTTTTTTATTAAAACTAAAACTTTTAAAGTTCTTTTTATTATTTTTCCTCTTAAAATATTGATATCGTTAGAAATATTGATATGCGAATTTGTGGAATTATCGACGAAAATATCAAATATCGATATCAGTTGCCTTTGATGGAAATGATGGAAGTTTAAAATGAAACTTTAGAAATTGTCAAGCATTGGTTTGAACAAAAAATAAAGAGTTTTTCTGGTACTTAATAGATTTGTAAAAAATATGGACGATATTTGTCGATTTTGGCTTAAACTTAAGAGTTTCTCCGATATAAGGTGAAGTTTAGACTTCAACCCCCCATTTCCATATCTTTCTCTGATTTTTTGAATATTTTCATGGAAATATCGATCATATCTAAGAAATTTTAAACACTGTTTAAATGCCCATCAAAACAGAAATATATTAACCGAAACCAGAAAAAATGTGAAATCTATAAGTCATAACAACAACAGAGGAATCCTACACAACACATTTTTCGCTTAACAACGTTTTGACCCACTAATCCCCACTAGATAATGTAAACTACTTATATCGCAGCTGAACAGAAAAACTGACGAAGATTTCGACCCGCAATAGAGAATCATATACCAATAAATTACAATTTACAAACTCTCAGGTGAGGATCGCACCCAACCCAAGTACAAGCCCAGCTTTAGAAGAGCTGAGTCTTCTTCCTTAATCATCTCAGTGATTGTCTCCATGAATCATCAGTGACTGAAACGGAACCCTCGTAATTTCCACCAACGTTGAATACTCCTCGTGCATTGGCTGCTTCCATGGTTCCCCATCCATCTGCATATATGCATTTCTCCATTCCCCACCTCTAACTTCCAACCGAATTGCAGCCGCCTAATCACCAACAAGTTTTTAAGTTCATATCATGATGCATGTGTACAGTATAGAGCATTGAAAATCTACAATGGCAATCAATCTGCAGAAAGGAACATGCAAAACCAGAGGTACAACTACTTCACAAAGAGATATATATATATATATATATATATATCTCGAGAATTGTCTAAAGAACTTCAAAATGCAACACAAAACGTGTGACAGATAAGGAAATTCAATCTAATAAGTCCTGCATCAAAAAAACTATATTGTTAGTGTGGTACAATCATGGTGCAGGGCTTATTAGATGGAAATTCCTTATCTGTCACACGTTTTGTCCTGCATTTTGAAGTTCTTTAGACAATTGATATATTTTTTGATCTCTCGTTGCTGTGACCCAGAGGAAACAGCTGCAGCATTCCCAACTAGGACAAATACACACTTGCAACTATTTTATTTCTTTTTCCTTTTTTTTTTTTTTTTTTTCTCGCTCAAGTAAACCCTCTATATGCATGTACACAACGAAATAAACAACTTGCATCATAATCTTGTTTTTTAGGCAAGCTCATGAGACGAATCAATATTTTCCTGCATCACAGGGGTATATTCGACTAAAATTTCATGCATCACCTATAAATTCATTAGGTAGAAGAAAATTTAATCCGCAGAAGATAACACTAAAGCAAATGTCATTATTCAATAGTTCAAAAACGCATCACAAAAAATTCATATATTTTTACAATAATATTCTGGTGCTATTAATATGCTAAAACGCGCCACTTAGTACCAACGGTCTATTGGTATTCCTCTTCACTTTGAGGTCTTAGGTTCGATTATCGCCAAAGGTAAATTTAAACTACATTATTGCTAGCCCATTGTGAGCCTTAGCTCAACCCCTCCTCCTCCCTTAGTGTAGATAACATCGTTCAAAAAAAAAAAAAAGAAAATGCTAAAACGCATAAACTTTTTGCATGCTAAAGAGTAAAAACTTGACATGATAGGATGAAGAAAGACACTGTTGCTGTACCTGAGCAATGTGTTTTGCAGAGATGAGTTCCACCATTACAAAAGATGCATGCCATCCTTGTTTCAGGCCAAAAATTTCAAGAAGGCCATCATCAGCATGGGCCTCCACGAAGCCTCTCTGAAACAATAAAGTTTTAAGATAACTATTATTAGCTTGGAACTCAGCAGTCACTCGATAAGCATGATTTAATGAGCACACTGAATAAAAGTTGCATAATAATCAAAACTTTAAATTCTACTAACATATATCCGGTGTAAACAAAATTAATGAAAACCAAGTAACTTGTATACAAACATGAACTAGACTTCCCGGCATTTAACAAAATACAAATGCAAGACACAAATTTGCACAAGTAAAGTTCACACCTTTAAAACACAAACAACAAAACAAAACATGTTTGTGTTGAAAGCCTATCCTAGTACAACAGAGTCCGCTAGCTCGTAGTCAAAACTGTTTGACTAGATTTGCTATGACTAGTTAGCCACTGTTAGATATTATTCAAGGCTTAAGTTATTACTCAGCTCATTGCTGAAGTGTATATATACATAATGCTGTGGGCAAACACCACACAATTTCGTATATAAACTATATAATACCTTTTCCAAGTACTCTGGCTTCAGATTACCCCACGGATTTCTTCCACTCCCATAGTTATGAAGATTTAGAGCAACAATTGCCCGTACGCTGAAAGAAGATAAAATAACAACATAAGCTATTGCAAATAACGGACAAAATTTGCTCAAAGTACTCCATGTCTGCAAGCATTTTATTCTAAATTATTCTACGTTCAGGGAAAAATAAAAAATAAAGGAACAAATACGCACATGTGGACAGATATAGATGACTACGAGTGATATATAGTATACTTTTCCTGGGTTCAAGTGATACATGACTTGTTTAAAATAAAAAGGTGAAAAAGAAAAAGTGGCATGCTTAGAAAAACCAAAGAGATTACCAAGAGCTACTATATGTGCAAAGAAAACTATGTTCCAGAACTGTACCCCTAAAAGATTTAAGAAACAAAAAAGTGTACCTTGAAGGCACTGAAATCTGCTCCCACTCTGAGCAATTTACCTTTTTGACATGCATCCTTAAGATGTTCTTTAGCCCCCTACAACCAGAAAAATAATTGGATACACATCAGAAGAGGCAGAGAGCACTAAAACTATTGGATAATTTTACATTATGTAAAAATTAGCCTCTGCATGTAAAAGTTAGCCTCCACATGTAGAATTGATAATTTACACTCTTGCTGCTTATGTGATTCAACAAAAGAACAAAACAGGATGCAAACACAATGAATAAGGCAAAAAATTGTCCAGAACCGTAGATTGCATAGCACACTGCTCCCCTCTGGCGTGAAAACATTTTTTTTTTTTTTTAAGGGGAGGGGTTTGCATTTACCCTCCTGCACAAACTCAAGGATGTATAATTCTCAATTATGGGACAACTTTTTTATGTTCTTTCAACAGGAAGCAGAACTACAAGTGAACCTAAAACAAAATCCAATTTTAATAAAGTCATATTAGAAAATAAAAAAGAAATTAGAGTCAAATCAAAAGAGAAATCTCTTTTAATCAATGTAGATAATTGTTAGCATAAAAAATAACAACAAGAGCAACCGTCAAAGCAAATAAATACTGCTTCAGTTTAAAGATATCAAACCTTAAACCAGGATCACTAGTGCAAGGTGTGAAGAACCAACCTTGAGTGCAACTATAACCTGAGTAAACCAACTGCAATAACACATAGATCAGTCAAAATATAAAGCCTGTTCATTATCAAATAAAGCCGCATTTCATTAACAAAAAACAGATTAATATTCTTTGGTTCATCATTTAATACAAAGATTCGATTGGATGTAAAAATGAATGAAAACGTGCAATTCACATTATAATATTCCTAGCATTCTTATAAGAAGAAAAAAAAAAAAGGCAGACAAGCTTCTAACAATGTTTTCTTCTGTTCAAAAAGGAAAATATTATACACATTGCTTAAATGGACAGTGTTCTCAACTCTAATATTCCGACAATGCCATGCAAATTAAATCATTGATAAAACTGCACCCCAATGGATATTCAAATCATATATAAAAGAAAAAAGACATTCAACCAGACCTTATTTGAAATTGGACCTTGTGCAAGATACGGTTTTTCGTTTCGTAAATGGTGGAATCCATAAGCAACTTGGGCATCCATTCCTGTATAACCAAATGACGAAAACAGGATCATGTAAAGGAGAACAATAACCTAATAAACATATTTTTATTGTAAAAATCATCTTTCTCTGATAAGAATATCTTTGCAAACAGAAGTAAAGGGGTTTAGGGAACAGGCCTAGATTTAGATGTAAAACATTCTTTACTCAAGACATCTAGAAATTTGTTCAAAGATATAGACGCAAGGGACATCTTGACACCCGAACAATATATGTAGAATATGCAACTCTACCCAACTAAATCCATTGTGAATACAATAGGGTGATCTCTAGAAGTGAAATTCCTTACTGGAAAAGAAAAAAACATGGCATGAACACAAGAGTATATGCGTTCAATACAATGATAATTCTAGTTTAACATTCTACTAAAATGCTTAGTACGAACACCCTTTAGAATATGTGTTCTAATAAAACCCTAAACCAATGAAGTCAACATACCTATGCTGAAGTAATTATAAAACACTCCTTCGTGGCAAGTAGATTTCTCAGGCAAATCCCCTTTTTCCAAACCCTGCGGTAATAAAATGTGTCAAACATATGGTATAAAATCATGGTATCCTTTGGCATGTGATGTAGGTGATTCTAGTAAGCTTGTCAGGTCAGAAACTTAAGAAATTAGAATAAAATTTAATCGTATAAAGATTCATTGAGTGCAAAGAAGTTAACGATATAAAGATTACACAAAGAGAAAAAGAGGTAAAAGTGATGATGGAGATATGAAGGCCGCCTTTCATCAGAACTTAATATTCAATTTTTCAAAATAATATTATAAATTGCTTTGCCAGAAAGAGTTTTTTTTTAGTTTCCAATAGATTATCTTATTTAGAAAAGATAATGTCATCAGTTCACAAGAATTGAGCAACATAAACATTCATTTTACCCAGTAAAGTAACTCAAAAATAAGAACACGTATTTTCACAGTATTTGACATCTGAATAAAACTATTACTTGTAGAAATTAAGAATTCAAAAGGTTACCCAATAAGAGTAGCTCGTCAAGAGTAACTAGACTTACAGTCTCATCAAGAGCGCATTCTTCAGTAAGCTTCAAAGAATGGGGTGGCTCCATTTCTGTACCGGCTGGCATTGACAGCACAATATGCCAACTGCACCATAAGAAAAGCAAATATAAATAAAACTGCTGGCTGGAACAAACCAGAACTAAAATAGTGTTACTGTTAAATACCATCAGAGTTGGTTAATAATGATGCCTTATCCCAAAATATATACATACAAGAAATGCACAAAATAATGGGCCATATCATATTAAACTAGAGAGGGAGAGAGAATAACAAATGAAACTCAATAGACATTTGAGAAACTATGTAGGTTCTCATTATTCATTATAACAATATTTGCAAACCAAAAGGAACCTTACCATAAGCTTCATATATATTTCTTTATTTTTCATCACTTTCTTTCTGAACCTAGTTACAAGCACAACGTTAAACTTGCCTATACCATAACAGAAATCCTGAGTGACCAATAAATAATACCAAATATCCATTAGGTAAAAAGATTTATTATGTAAGATCCTTTTAGGAAAAATAAAATGTACAGAAGAATAAAATGTCTTTGCGCTCTTCCTTTAGAAGGGGCCAAATAAAGGAAAGAAGAAAATCAAAAACATTTTAAAGGATGTTAGTAATGTTGCGATTTGGCTCGTCAAAATACCAAGGCCAACCAGGTTTAGGTTTCCAATTGGTGTAGGGAAAGAAGTAAAGGAATGTGCACTGGTTATTTCCCATAAAAATAGGGAAATAGGTTTTCTTTGTAATCCCAATCAGTTTAGGATTAGGAACTAAGTTAGTTTTCCCTATTCTAAAAGGATTCAAGAAGCCTATACTTGCAAGGCACGTGACCATCAGTCTATGAACTAAGCTTGTTAGGGGCTGTTTATTCACAAAAACAGCACAGAGAATACAAGGTAGAAAGCAAAGAGTATTAGAGAGATCTAAAGCAAGGCTTCAGGGTTTAGCATAAGGGTTTTCAATACGTTCTTGTAACCGAGTTGTTATTCTCCATAGTGCAGGTGATTTCTCAGGAGAGATCACATGAGGAGTAGGCAAAGTTCACCAAACCTCGCTAAATTCTTTGTGTTTGAGTGTGGCGTGTCTATTTTATTGTTCATATACTCACAAAGCATCATCTTATAAGTTTGCATAACAACGGAGACTATCAATAAATAAGATCAACTAAGGGGGATTAAAATCTACAAGTAGAATGCAATAGATTGATTTAAACTCAATTCCCTATGTTTTGGAACCACAACATAGTTTGCAAAGGAAAAGAGGGGAAAGAAGGAACCCACATCTCAAATGCAATCAACTCTCTAACAAAACTGAACCAGCAAATGAGAGTGACACACATGCACAGATATGGAATGCACTCAAAGATGAAATGCAGAGTTGATTGAAGTCAAGATTCAAAAACACATCAAACAGTTAAAATTAATCTTACATTGTAGGTATGAACATTCACAGTGAAGGACTAGAGATCCTCAACCAAATTAAATTTCAGTACAATAGCTGCACACAACTTCTAAATTCACTGACCACTAAGTCACTAGCTAGGCAAAATCATGTACTGGACATGATTAGAGAAAGGCTTCATTTTACTAGCCTTCTAATTGAAGACATACAACCATTACCTAATAATACAGCTTACCTATCCAAACGGCATATTGGACCTGCAGTAGCCCTGAATAGAGTTTTTTTAATGGCTGATTTCCATGCAAAAGGGAATGAACCACCCTGGTGAAAATATGTGTACCCATTGCTCAATAATGCAAGAAAAATCGTCCACAAACTAAAAATTCATTACAAAACTTACCCAACCAAAACTCCTGGAAAGATCATTTCCCGTGCCAAGTGGAATAACTCCTACTGGAGGAACTGGTTCCAAACCCTGTCTGTTGAGTTCATATAGGCAACCAAGTACCCAACCGACTGTACCATCACCCCCTGCAACCTGCCCAAAATTCCAAAATGTTACATGTCAAACTTAAATGTTGTAGGATTTCACTAGATGCTAAACTCAGAATGATCATATAATAGAGCTTTAAATAAACGTGCCGCAATGTCGTACCATAACCCTGATCTTTTGACGACACTCTTTGGCACAAACGTCACCAACATCAGCCAATAACTCTAGACAACCCAACCCATACTGAACAAATTCATGAGGCTTCACATCTGAGAGGTCAAAAACCTGCATGACAAATTATTTCCAATTCAAGCAATAGTTTACACAGATTAAAGACAAATATGAAGAAACCCTATACAGAACTCGATTCAACAAACAAGCGAAATCACAAGGGTTTCTTCAGTAGACAGTAACCACTTTGTCTACTGAACTCGATTCAACAAACAAGTGAAATCACAAGGGGGAATTCAATTTTAATTGAATCTAAAACCTGATTAAGAAGATGATGGCACCATTTTAGCCAACCCTGTTCAGTGATATATCAAAGCATTTCTAACCTCATTATAGTCGTATCGGTCAAACAGAACTAAGGTTAACTGGCAAAGATTGCAAAACAATCCAACGCCACTTTCCTCTGCTTCCTTTTATTTAAAACAAACCTGATAAATCCTTCACTTCCTTCGAACAACCACAATATGTTCATAACATTACACATACTATCGAAGTAAAAAACTCACCCCTTAAGGTAAAATATACACACACAAAAACCAATTTTTTTTCTTTTTTAAAAAAGGACAATAATTATCATACTTAACCAAAAATCCCCCATAATCCTACGTAAGCAGTAAGGAAAACAGACACAAACACGTAAATTCATGCACGCACACATACATCATAAATGGATTTTTTTCCAGTTCCTGAGAAAATTAAATTATAAATCAAATTCTGAAATCGGTCGCCAGAAAACCCAAAAAATTCAAATGGGTCGGCAGAAAAACGAAAAATAAATCAATCTAGCAAAAAAAACGAAAAATAAACCAAAATTCAAAGGGTGCAGTCAATGCCAATCGAATTAACTTGAAGGAAATTAAGGGTACCTGTTCTTCACCCATCAGCAATTGGAGCCTCTCCTTGAGCATAGGCCCGTATCTTCCACCGCTTCGCGGATTTATAAACACAACCATGGGCGACTCCGGCGGCGTTTCCTCCACATTTTCCACGGCGGCAGTGGCGACGAGGTCTCGACTTCCCGGAAGGCGGCTCTCGCCGGCTCTTGGGTCCTTTAACCGTATAGAATCGCGCATAGCGAAGCGGAGGTACTGCGGCATCAAGAGCTTCTTCTTGAGCTCCTCCTTGTCAATCGTCATACCCGATAGGGTACAGCCCCTGAAAGAGTCGATCATCGACGATCGCGCGGTGATCCGCGTCGTCGACGTCGACGGAGAATCCATTTCGCCCTCTATCTTTCTCTCTGCTTTTTGTCTCTCTCTACCTCTCTACCAAGCGCGTTTGTAATTGAATTTCCAGAGTGCCAATGGGAGAAGAATAACGTGGCTCCCAGCTTTATTCAACAATATTTTATTTAATTATTGAATAATAATATATTATTTAGTTTCTATTCTTGGCCGTCTATAGTTGGCCAGGGTTTGCTGTATCTGTCGAGAAATATTTTATCGTGAAAGGAATACGAGTAGTACGTTTTTATTTAAGTGATGAAAATTTTTATTTTTTAAGTTAAAATTTTTAACACACATTTCTCATAATTTATATAATAACACGTGGTGTACTACCTCATATGCCTTGTGTGTCCAATCTGATTTTATGACACGTATTATTAAACTTTACAAAACATTAACGATTTTAAATTTTATATTGGCAGCAATAATAATAAGATTAAACATGTCACAAAATCAGATTGGACACACAAAATTTTGGATACAGTAGACCCGTAGCCCCTATAGTTAGGACATCTATCTCAAATTTGAAAGAGAATTTGCTCTCCTTCTAATCTCTCTTTCATTTATTTCTCTTCTATTTAAATAGTTATGATTAAGTCATGTCAACATTTTGTATTAATTTTTTAGAGAGAAAGACAAAAAGAAATTGTGAGAAGAGAGGAGAGAAAGAGATGAAAATAGGAGGGTAAAGAATCTTATTCCCTCAAACTCTCAAAAGAGTCAAAACTCGAATGCAAATTTCACAAATAACAAATTGCATTTTCCGATCAGAATTTTTCCTATTTAAACATCACCTCCTATTTGAATTCACCTCAATTTCTACCTGCACCTCACTAAAAATTTGAAATTTGAAATTTGGCCTACGTGAATTAATACCCCTTGAGGTGATAGAATAGTCAAAATATAGCCCGTGTGATTAGAAAGAAAGAAAGAAAGAAAAAGGAAGAAAAAGTGTTGTAAAGTCTGTTAGAATTTAAGCTTAAAATTAAAAGTTCCGTCAACTTTAATTGTGATGACCTGTTCGTATTTTTTATATAATTTTCTCTCTGAGTATGTAAAGTGATGATTATGCCCTAGTTGACTAAATGACGTGGATGTACTTACTCAGTTTAAATTATTTTTCTTGTTATCATCGTGCGAAATTTTATTTTATTTTTTCTTTTTGAAACTTTGACTCATGCCCATCCTTATCCACCAATTGTTTTATTTCCTATTTTCTCTAACCCAATCAGATTATATATCTCTCTTCCCTCTGCCCAATCAGACACCTGTGACTCTTTCTCTCTTTCTCGTATCTTCTTCTTCCTTCTCGTACCCGAGCCACCGTCACCATACACATACTTTAAATCTTCACAGATTGAACCTGCAAAGACCATCATCGTGTTCATCTTGACCTCACGAACCCAGTCGTACCACTTGATTGTTGAACGAACGAGTTTTAACTAGCCAATGCGGACGCTTTGACTCGGTTAAGTTGGTATCGTCGTGATCCCGGTGAGATTACAAGGTTTTAGGACGTGGGGAAACCTCTACTCAACTTCCTGAGGTCTGCAGTGAAGGTTTGAGGACGCCTTGTAGCGAAACAAACCTATTTCGAGAAGTTAGAGTTTTGGCTGAATCTTTTGAAGGATTTTCAGGCCATTTGCAGTTTGATTTTGGATTCTCAAGAGGTATGAACTCGTTCTACTCCTCAAGAGCTTCAAATCCATATAAATTTTGTGGATTTTGGTCTAGAAATGAGTTAGATATAAAGGTTTCAAAATTTTCCTAGAATCCGGCGAACCAGACGATGGTGCTGGCAACTGCGGACGACAAATCTAATCAGAGAAGAAGGCGAATATTCCATCAAAGTTGACGGAATATTTTGACAGCGTCAGGTAACGCCATTACTATTTAACGGAATATTCCATCTATTCTGACGGAATATCCCTAACGTCCGTTAGGGTTTCTGTTGAAAATGCCATGCACGTGCCTGCGCATGGCCACACGTACGGCCGTGGATTGGACATATATTCAAACCTTCCATTTGAGCAAACTATTAGAAGTTATGCCTAGATTCTTATGTATGTGCTATTTAATTAACCAAAAGTAGTTGTTTCGCATATAGGGGAGACATACCCTGAGGACGAATGCGGACAAGTGAGGCTAGGGGGTTACGACCCTTCAACATATCAGTGAGTGGTCATTTGTTTATATATATATATATATGACACACCGCGAGGCATGCTGGCCATCACGTGGTGATGACGTAGCCATGTGTGCAGTGCGGAAGTGACAGTGAAATGAAAATGTGAGTAGTAAGAAAAAAAAAAAAAACAAGACTAACTAATTTACACTAAGATAACTACAAAAGTGTGCAGAGGTGTTCAAGGTAGTTATACAAGTACTCAGAGCGTAGGTAGCCTAAGTGCAGTCCAGCAGGCTAAGTATTAATTATACAAGACAGGAAAGAAAGTTCCTACATTATTTGAAGTCTGTCAGAATTGCCGTAGAATCCTCGTAAGCCAACAACACAAAAGTCTACCTAGAACCTAGAGAGGCGCAAAATAGAAAACGTGAGTGGGCAAAAACAAAATTTTTAAAACCATTTCTCTTTCCAAAAATAATAACCTCTCACCATAAAACCCATATAATTTCCCAGAAAATAATAATACATACGTATATAGAAATCATGCTCGAGAATAGTGAAAACCAAATATATGCCATGTCAAGTATCTTAGCATGGAAATAAGTAAGCCAGGTGAAGTAAATCAATGTAAAATGATATACTAGCCAGAGTCACCTAACGTGACCTGTAAGGCTGAACCTATAGCTCATCAGGTATGCCTGCACACGAGTCGGAACCACCTATTGTGGTCTGTACGATAGGGCTGGGTGTAAACAAGCACGCTCAAGTGCTACAATCACGTGAAGACTGTGCGATAAATCGTGGGTCACCTACGAGTTGGAACCACCTATTGTGGTCTGTACGATAGGGCTGTGCACCAAACTTGGATCTAAGGTGAGCATGCGTTGCGGGAGTGAACATCACGTGAAGGACTGTGCCCTGGCCACGGGTGGGAGCATTAATACCGGGGTGCAGGATAATGAGCTCTAAATGCATCTATGTATAATCACAAACAATGCATTCCACTATCATCAATATATACTCACTTGAAGCTTACCTGAGCGTCCGCAGCGTCAAGCAACAACGTGCATATCTATACTAGTGTACATTCTAAAGTATAATGCAATTGACATGACATTTAAAATCGTAAATCCATTTAAAACAATTTCTGGGAAAACGTAAAGCATATTTACGTATATATAGAAAACCAAAAGCCCACTCACTGATATATAGCAAGGTCGTAACCCCCGAGTCTCGCCTGGCTACGCTCGTCATCCGGAAACGTCTCACCTATATGTGAAACAACTATTTCAACGTTAATTTGAAAGTACATAACCAAAACCATGTAATAACTTCTCATACGTTGCTCAATTGGAGTGTTTAAATATACCATCGTGGCCAACTCAACACCACGAGCATCCCCATATTTTTAGAAAAATTTTCGATGTCCCACGCGCCAGCCAAGGCACGGCAATACATGTCGACCACCCACGGGCATGTGACTGGCACGTTGGACGGAAACCCTAACGGCGTTAAGGAATATTCCGTTAAATAGTAGCATATACCATTAACTTTACCTGAAGCCGTCAGTATGTTTCGTCAAAGTTGACGGATTATGCTCCTTTCTTCTCTGGTGCCTCGCCGGAATTCGTCGTCGGTCACCGCTACGTCACCGGAAACTGGAAATTCTTAAAACCTTAGTTTCTACTTTGTTTCAACACCAAAATTCACAAATTTTATATGGAATCGAAGCTCTCAACTAGGAGAATATAACCATACCTCTTTGAGGTCCTAAAATCGACGGAAAATGGTCAGAAAATCCTTCGATATTCTGGCTAAGTCTGCAACTCGATAAACCCAAGTGTCTCGACATTTAAACCACTCCAAAATTGTTCCAAGATGCTAAGGAAGTTGTATGGGGACTACCATGAGTCTTAAATCCTTAGATAAATCCCATGATCACATCAAAGTAGTTTAGCTCTTCGTCGGAGTTTATGGAATCTCGGATTCTCGATGTCAAATCACTAAACAAAAGGTATCACCAGATTCTAGAGCTCGAGATGAGTAAGAATCTAGAAACATCAAGCTCGATCCGTTGAGTTTTGGTTTAGTTTAAGGGTAAGTGCTCTCGACTGTACGGACGGAAGGAATTTTCGAGAAAAGAGGAGAGAAAATGGTTGCACGTGTGTGTGTGTGTATGGGTTACAGGATTGGCAGAAAGAAGAAAGAAAATAAAACCTGATTGGGCCCAAGGAGGTAGGAGCCCAAATATGTGGTCATAACTTACTCGTTTACACGCATTACAAATTGTAACTTCCTTGTTACGACTCCGATTCAACCCTAACTCACGTCAACGCGCTTGTGACGTCAAGTACAATTTAATTATGTTAGCGAGAAAAATAATATAAAATTATATACGTACATCCACGTCACTAAGTCTCGAGGGCATACTCGTCATTTTCACACATTCGAGGAGAAAATATATATTTATTCGGGATGGGTCGTTACAACCTACCGCCTTAAGAAAATTTTGTCCCCGAAATTTCTTTACACTAGCACACAACATATCAGTACTCATAAAACAAACGTGGATATAAATCTCGCATACGATCCTTCGTCTCCCAAGTAGCCTCTTCTACCGAATGATTCCTCCACAAAACTTTCACCATGCGCATAGTTTTGTTCCTAAGAACCTTATCCTTCCAATCTAGAATCGTCACTGGCTCCTTGTCATATGTCAAATCTGGATTAATTTCTAATGGCTGAGGAGGTATCACGTGTGATAAATCAAAGATATAATGATGAAGCATAGAAATGTGAAAAACATCGTGCACTTTTGACAGCTCTGAGGGTAACTCAAGTTTATAGGCGACTTCGCCGATTCATTCGGTGATCTGGTACGGTCCAATGTAGCGAGGGCTTAGCTTACCTTTCTTACTAAACCATACTACACCTTTCCACGGAGATAGTTTCAAAAATACC